GTCTCTCTCTCTCTCCCAGGACACAGGGGTTCTGTTAGTATGCAGCGCCCCCTTCAGACCGGGGGACGACTGCCACACATCTCTTGCACCCGCACAACTCACTAAGCTAAGCATCACATACAGTGGAGGCACTTTCTGCAACACATCTTTACTTACTTACTTTGATTTGTCCGTGCTGTATTTTCCTTTCACCACTAGATGGCGGTAAACAGGCAAAAACACAAAGGTGGTTCTGATGCCTCTCTTTTATATTTTTTGTAATTAATCATAAAACGTCGTTAAATCAAGTTTGATACGTCAAAAACAACAAATAATTGTTAAATATAAGATTTTTCATCATATAAAACACCTGGCATTTTGTATATATTTAAATATTTTCATTGTTTTTACTCAACTGTTAAAAAATGAATGTATCACAAGCGAAGCAAACTGATAAAATTAGCTCAAAGCTTGGAAATATTGATGTTTAAATAAAGATTTAAGCAAATTAATCAATTTGAAAAGGGAGTTTAGTTCAGCTACTGCCAGTAAAATGAACTCTTTGATTTTCCAACACAAAATAAATGTTATCATTGTATTTGTGTTGGATGCTGGATGGAAGAACAAAAAAAAACTTAATGGGAACATGTTTAATTTGACAAAAACATTAGCCACTGTTGATACAAGAACAGATTTGTCTTTTGAAATTTTCAGTGAGATTGTTCCTGTTAGGCAAAATATAAGAACAGGAGCTCAGTTTAAAATATCTATATGTTGTATTATGATGATAAAACATGCTGAGGCAGCATTTAAATGATGATTCTGTGTTTTAGTTTACAGAACACAAACTGTTTTTTTTTTATACATAAAAGTTTCAGAAAAGGTTGTGATATTTAAATTTATTTTTTTTAGGCTGTGGGGAAGATCAGGAAGCCGGTGAAAGTGTGGCTGGTGCTCCCCTGGGTCGTCACGATATTGTTGAACTTCGTTATCTGCAGAGAAACCGTGTCTCCGACCTGCAGCTCCAGGAGAGTTGAGCCGGAGATGACCAGGAACCCCGCAGACGTGTCGCACAGGGTCATGTGAGTGTCGCTGCCCTTCATCACTTTCAGGCACACCTGAAAGGTTAAACACACGCAGCTGGAGCGATTCATCTTAATTTAAACAGAGCAATATGAGGAAGCCAGAGAGAAACTCTTCGGACTCACTTTGCTTTTTGCTGAAATGTGGTAGCTGAAGAAATAGACGCCTTTGATTTTACTCACGAACGTCCCGTTTGTCAGAGTTTCTCCTTGAAACTGAGAGTCCAGGTCAGGCAAAATCTTGCTGTGGACGAATTTACATCCATCTGTTACTGAATATTTCACAGTATTAGCTTAATAAACAGACTCATTGCCCATGGGTATGGAGAGCCATTTCATTC